ACCCCTCTTTATACCCCCTCTGCATACCCACTTTATAAACATATTTTAATTTAAAATGCATGGCCCTTTATTAAGAAAGAAAACATTTAAGCCTCATTTTCACTTAAAAGTCCATTGGTCTCATTGTGAGAAATCTAGTAATGACAATCAAAATCCATGTTTTGAATGATTTTTCTTCCTAACATTTATATTTGTAATAGAGCCTTGTGGTTCAAATAAAACTCTGCAGTGACAGACAGTGAAATCCAGAACATACCACAACAACAAATGCGAGATGTGTCACCTCATCTTAATGCTGGAATGCTTGATAATTGAAAGAATTACGAGTTTTCCACGTTTTTTTAATCATCAATTGAGCCCTGTTCCAACCTGTTCCATGTCTGTGATAAATGTTTCCATTGTCTTTGCTTTTTCCCATCAAAACAAGCAAGTGAAATGTCATTTGAATCATGAGCAAATTTTATAGTGTCATTGTGTTTTAAAATCAGCAATGGAGGAATATGAATGAAATTTACAGGGGAGAAAGTAAACAGGCATCTCATCAACACTCTTAATTGTAAAGAAATCACAAAAGATAAGACAGTTCATTCAAATTTTAGAGAGAGAAAACATGAAAATGCCATAACCACATAGAAGTCTGGGGAGAAAATTTAGGCAAGGGAAGACAACAGTTTCTAATAGCCTGTCTAAATAACATACTCCACACATCATAAACAATAGAAACACAACCTGTCAGCCATGTTGTTGGGGCCTGGAAAAATGCTGGGACTAAAGTCAGTCTAGTGCACATCTCCATAAAATTTGTCAACTCAAAGTGCTACTTGGAGGGTTAAACTTCTATTTAAATAACTATATATGCTGAGTTCTCAAAATACATTTTTTATTTTGTTGTTGAACTTTTAGGACAGTTACAAATTAATAATGTTCTTCGTAAGTAGATAGATAGATGTACGTAAGACATGTTTTACTTGCATATGATGTCATTGCTTTAATTTTCTCTAAAATATTTTTGTTACACTAATAACTGTAGATATTGAAACTTTTAGAAATAAAAATTGCCAGAGAGAGAGAGTTTACTTATAATTCTGGTCAGTCGTAACTATTTTTATCCATCCGGGATATGAAATTATTTCATGAATTAAAAGTGTTCAAGACTGTTCAAAAATTTAAGAATTATTGTACTTCCTCTTAAAATAGTCACATTGACCTAACTGGTGAAATATGTACAATCTAAAAGCTTTGATGATATTTACTTTGGAAGTAGGTAGTTAATGTAGAAGAGATAAGTGTCCTGGTTGTGAATATCCTAGCTCCTCAGAAAGCCCCTTATTGTAACAATATTTCATACTTTGAACCAACATGCCTATCATACAATGTGTTAATGAAAAAAATACATCAGTCGGAAATTAAATGATTAGTACTTTTATAAAGTTGTGCAGGCAAAAGCTCTATTCTTAATGGCCTCACCCTAAAGTTGGAAGGGCTCATTTTTGCTTTTCTGTTTTCAATTTCCTCAATCTGAAATATTTTCCTTCTGGAAGAAAATTATCCTAATGCTTTACATCATGTTATTTTAACATTGTTTTATGTGTTAGATATAAATTTATCTCTTCTTCCTCATTAAATCTGGAATCTGAAATTGAGCTTGTTCAATGTCCAGTGTCGTAAAGTACTTTTGTAGCCTAGCGAAAGTACAATGTGATAATAAGAACTCAATTATTTTTTCAAATACATGTAGTTTTTATATTAAAATACATTGATAGGTAATTACATGATTAGCATTTCATAGAGCTTTATCAATTTTGAGATTTTTGTCATTAAAAGAAAGAGTAAAAATTGATAAGACTTCACTTAGGGATCATTGAAGTCCATACTTAACCCCAGGCCTCAACTCCTGGCCATATAGCCCCCAGGCCTTAACTCTTGGATATCTAAACCCTCAGGGCATTATATATCTGGTCTTAACTTTGCCATTTAATCCCCTGGCTTTAACTCTTGGCCATTTAATCCCCAGCCTTTAACTCTTGGCCATTTAATCCCCTGGCCTTAACTCTTGGCCATTTAATCCCCTGGCTTTAACTCTTGGCCATTTAATCCCCTGGCCTTAACTCTTGGCCATTTAATCCCCTGGCCTTAACTCTTGTCCATTTAATCCCCTGGCCTTAACTCTTGGCCATTTAATCCCCTGACCTTAACTCTTGGCCATTTAATCCCCTGGCTTTAATTCTTGGCCATTTAATCCCCTGGCTTTAATTCTTGGCTTTAATCCCCTGGCTTTAATTCCTGGCCATTTAATCCCCTGGCCTTAACTCTTGGCCATTTAATCCCCTGGCCTTAACTCTTGGCCATTTAATCCCCTGGCTTTAACTCTTGGCCATTTAATCCCCTGGCTTTAATTCTTGGCCATTTAATCCCCTGGCTTTAATTCTTGGCCATTTAATCCCCTGGCTTTAATTCTTGGCCATTTAATCCCCTTGCCTTAACTCTTGGCCATTTAATCCCCTGGCTTTAACTCTTGGCCATTTAATCCCCTGGCCTTAACTCTTGGCCATTTAATCCCCTGGCTTTAACTCTTGGCCATTTAATCCCCTGGCCTTAACTCTTGGCCATTTAATCCCCTGGCTTTAACTCTTGGCCATTTAATCCCCTGGCCTAAACTCTTGGCCATTTAATCCTCTGGCTTTAATTCTTGGCCATTTAATCCCCTGGCTTTAATTCTTCGCCATTTTACCCCCAGGTCTTTAATCTTGGTCATTTAAGGCCCCAGGTCTTAACTCTTGAGCCTTTTAGCCCCTAGGCTAATAACTCTTGGGTATTTAGCCCCAAAGCTTTAATTTTTGGCCATTTAGACCCCTGGCCATTTAAACCCCAGGTCTTAGCTGTTGACCATTTACCCCATAGGCTTCTTAACCCCTAGACCTTCACTGAAGGTCCTTCAGGCCTCTAATATTCATATTTAGCTTTTCATTCCAAGTTGCTTCAAATTGCTTGGAAGATCACACTTATTGTTATTTAATGCTATGGTCAATATTCATACACTGTATAGTCCACTTATCTTTCAAGTTAATTCTCACATTCCTTATTTTTGCTATGTTGTAGATGCAAGGCAAGATTTCCAAAGAAACTGCTTCTCAGCAAGCACTTGGAAACCCATAAACAGAGAGAGGGAACAGAATTCACGTGTAACATATGCCACCATACTGAGAACTCCGCTCAGTTACTCAGTAGCCATTTTGAAACAGGTCACAGCAAAAAAATGCTTCACGTTTGCACAGTCTGCTTTGTGGGTTTTACTCAGACCTCGGTGTATCTCCAACATGTTACCTCTCATCCTGGTAGGCAGTCCTTCAATTGCTCACATTGTGACATCACATATGACAGCCAATTAGATTTGCTCAAGCATACCGCAATGCATACAGGATCAGGGACGGGATACACGTGCCGTGGTTGTGAAAAATCCTTCAAAGATGCGCAAGAGTACAGCGATCACTTCCTGGAACATGCTGACTCGTCCAAGGAAAACATATTCGAATGTTGTATATGCAGTCAGATTTGCTCTAATCTTAGCGAGCTGAGAGCACATGAAAAATCCCATGTTGGTCAGATGCCCGTTCCAGAGAAGATTCATGTTTGTCCCCATTGCCAGAAGTCCTTTAAGTTGTATACCAAGCTGAGAGACCATATGGAGAGCCATTCAGAGGTTTGTTTGTTTTTGTTTGTTTATTTGTGTAAATAATAAATCAAATGTTCAGCCTGAATGTATTCACTTCAATAGAATGAATATTCAATGTTATGTAAAATTAATTAAATTGATTTGGTGACAGGTCATCTCGACCCCAAGTCAACTCAGTCCAGTTTAACTCAACCCTAATTCTACTCAACCCTGTCAGTCAACCCCAAGTCAACTCAATCTAGTAAAACTTAATCCCAAGTTAACGCAACCCCAGTAAATCTCAACCCCAGTAAAACTCAACCCCTGTATATTTATTTTTTCCACTTTTATTTCATAAAATCAATGATGTTGCCCATTCTAATTGGGGAATTTAATGGAAGAATAATTCACTTCTAGAAGGGAAAGTCTAGTCCTGATAAACAAAACAAAGTTGGTCACAGGCATGAGAAGAATATGAACTAATCTGACCAAAACAGAATCATTCAAATTTGTTCATGTTTTAAAGTAGGTCTTGTCCTGCATACCCAGGCACCCATCTTACATATACCTACTTGCAATTGATTCTGGGAATCGAACATTGAAGGATCAGCAAGGGGCTTTTTCATATATTAATCACCTAGTGATTTAATCATATTTCTTACATGTATGTCATTTTTTGTTTAATTTTGAAATCTTGTTAATAAGTTCTTTTTGTTGTAATGGCTTTAGCTGTCACTCTTGATCATTTTGAATTCTGAAACATAGCATTGTTCATTTTTGCCAGCATTTGACATTTTACTACATACATATGTAACAGTACAGGTGATGCTCATTTTAGCAAAACTAGTCGCCAGATATCATTTCTTCACATTTTAAAACATTCAAGTATGGAAGATATGTTCGCATTGAATCAATTGAAATGATTGAAAAAGTTGAATTGATTGGACATAAATGGAGTTTTGTTTATGTTTTTCATTTTGCTAACTTTTAACTGTTAACTGACTTCAGCTTAAATCTATATCTTCAGGTGAAGAAGTGCCGGTGCCACTTATGTGGTAAGCGTTTCAACCAGCAACGTAAATTACGTATGCATCTTGATCTGATGCATCGGGGAAACAAGAAAAACTTCAAGCTCTCAAATGATCTAGAGAGTGTCAGCACAACAAGCTCAGCAAGCGAAGATTTTCAGCACTACCCAATGTCGTTTACCATCAAGGAGGAACCTGCTAGTGACGGGCTATCAGATAATGCTGTGCCACAAACTCAGGTTGCTGCAGTGACAAGTGTGACGTCACCATGGCTAGGACGCCCACAGGAGGCTAAATACAGGGACCAATACAATTTCAATCACAGCAACAACATTGCTGTTTCACCACCAGGCATTACTAATCGCAATTTTTCCGACATCCGCCAAGTGAGTAGCTCTCCATTCAAGAGAGACACCCCAAGTGGAAGATCTTCAAGGTCATCATATGGGATGCCGCCAACTGTCGAACAGGATGTCATGAGTCACCATTCTTTGAACAATCACACAAAGAGCCTTACAGATTTTCCTGCACTTAACGAAGATGAGCCAATGAATTTATCATTTCAACCTAAAAGCAAAGAGAACAGAGAGACTGTGAAAGAGGGCTCTGTTCGCAGTTTGATGAGCTCTAGGTCATACCCTGATGATGTCTTTATGGCTTCTGGTCCAATCAACATGAGTGGAGTCTCTGAGATGCGACAACTAGAGCAAGTTGTGTTTGCCGCTGGCCAACAAAGTAACCCACCCCCTGGATTCATGCACCCCCACCCACGTGATTTGACACCCGGCTTGCCAAAGGGTCGTCATTACAGCCTTGATGGTGCATTTCCAACACGCCTGGCTGATGCTGTTCGGGCTCCAATGATGCTTCCTAGTCCTAACACAACCCTCAATAAATTTGCTGCCATACAGAGAGATCGGGAACGTGACATTAGGGACAGAGAGCTCCGTGAGAGGGAAATCCGCCAGATGGAACGAGATCCACGTGATGCTCATGAGCGAGAATCTAGAGAACGTGACCAACAAGGATTCTCACCGTCTCCACATGAATTCAGGTCACCATACTCTGCAAGTATTCCAAGTGGCATTAACCCCAGTGGCGTCAGTCCCAGTCAGATGAGTCCTCATTTCCCTGGTAGTCGACACCCCACCCAGGGAGACACTCCAAGTTTGATAAGTCCCCAGTACCCACATGCTCTGATGCGACAACACTCCACTGGCCCAGGGGGTCTGCGCCATGACCCTGCCCAGATCTCCCCAGGGACTGCAGCACATCTTTCCCCCAACTCCCCAAACAGCACCACAACATCAGATGGCCCTGGGGGAACCCCCGATAACCAACTTCCAGCACCATCAACTTTCCAAGTTGGGGAACTTCGATGCGACATTTGTGGTATCCTGTATGAGAATTTTCCGCTGCTCGAGAACCACGCTAAAGTTGTTCACAATCGTTTCCCTTGTGAAATTTGCTGCAAGTCTTTCACACAGAAAGGAAATCGTGATCGCCACTTCAGGATCCACACAGGAGAAAAGCCGTATGCATGTCAGGAGTGTGGGGTGTCGTTCATGCGTGGAGACGACTTGAAGTATCATCATAGTACAAAGCATGTTGTCCTGCGCCCATTCGACTGTAAAATCTGCCATGGATCTTTCCACCGCAAGGCAGACTATGTAAAGCATATGCAGCTCCATAATATTGATGTAAATGCAAGTCAGGGCATCAACGTTCTGCGGGGTGATGTCCTTAGAGGTCCAGAACAAGGCGGCAATCCACGGGGATCTAATGAGCCACACCAAAGTCCTGATGGGGATATCTCTTCTCCGAATGATGTCATGAGAGGAATGCCACAAGATTATATGAGGGGAGCCCCAGAGATGGCACTTGGACCTCAAGAAATGTCACGCATGTCTCAATCTGCATTACATCACGAAGGACATCATGGCCCACCAGATCAGTTCCGGAGCCCTGTCCATCAACCCCCAGGTTCAATGTCTACATCTGCTTTAATGCCAAACTCATCTGCAATGTCCATGGCAGAGGCAGCTGTCAATGCTACTATAAGTTCATTGAATTCAAGACTTTATTCTTCATCTTCAACTAATTAATCTTGTGCTTAAAAGCAGATATGACAAAATGACTGAGAGTATATCAAAATAACAATGTAATTATTACTTCACCATATGACATTCCTTATAGGACATTCCATATAAATTGTATTTCCAATTTTACATTTTCCAAAAGTGATGTGTTTCAAAATGAATCGTGATTCCAAGTGATTCATAAATAAATCGGGTTCTTGCATGCAGTTGTTTTCCAATCATCAGAATTTCACTAGAAGCATTGTATAAAACAATATGTTTTGTCACTCCATTTAATTTAGCATGCTTGTATTATCATAGACCTTATCAGGAGTTATGTTCACTGGACAAATTCCATACTGGTGAAAACTCCATACTGGTGAAAATTCCATAGTACAGTAGTAGGGAATTTCATAATATAAGTACTACACTGTTGCACTTCACATCTTACATTCATGAGATTTCTATATTTTGTTTGATTAATTCTATATATTTTTCAATGACTTCCATAACTACATTAATTTGTAGAAAAAGAGGGATTTCCTGAACAATAATATATATTATTTGAAAATTAGAATGTGCCTGTTTTGAGATATATATTTGTTAATGTCGAAATTGAAGCCAAATGCTCAACTTCTCCTGTGTCATAAAACTATCCATGAATGTGGTTAGATATCCCAATGTATGAAAGGGAAAACTATTTTTTTTGAAAATGCCATATATTATTAGTACTTATTCATGCACATTTATGTGTAGTATTATATCTTTAGTGGTATAAGTCTTGCATAAAGTATTTTGACCCCCCCCCCCCATCAAAGAATACAATATCTATGCTGGTTGGGAAAATAAAGTGGGAGACCAGAGACTTGGTGTAAGACTAAAATTATACTGTAAAACATGTTATTTCAGCTTGCTATTCTCACAATACTTTCAATATACTTTGAAAATTCCTAATTTGTGAAAATTTCATATGTGAATTGAACATGTTTTACAGGATACTATATTACTGCCTTTACTTTCTGTACATCTCCTGGGAATTTCTTTTGAAAACTATGATACTGGAAAACTAGTAAATATATTGTTAAGGTTTGAAATAGGACATTTATGGCAGTCATTTATGACTATATATTAACTATTAAGGAATTAAAAAGTTTGAGCCACTTTGATATAAGCTCCACAATGAAATTTTTGACTTGATATTGCAATTGAAAATTGCATTATTTTATTGTACATATCACTGGTACTTCCTTATAATAAAATGTATTATATTCCTGTTTTGTATATATGTAAAATTACTACTTGTGGACAAAGTATTTGAATTATGTAAGTATGAAATGCTTGTTCAGTAAGACTTGTTCAACTGAACGCAAATTGTGTTCAATTCACCAAGTTTTACTGCACCGTATATATTGGGTGCTTGTTTGCAGATGCCATTCCATTCAGGTAATATAGAGATACAGTAAAACACTGTCTAATGTGAACATTTGAAAATGAAGTGTTCTCTGTTTTGGGTGTTCAGTTTTAGAAAGTTAAGTATGCACTTCTGTTTTATGAGGTTTTCACTACAGCTCACTCACAGGTGTTCACTTCTAAAATTTAGACAGGTTTTACTGTTGTTTGCAGTGGCCATTATTGTTATTATATGTGTACAAGAGCTTAAGTGGCTGTCTAATGCTTAAGTACTGCGAAACACAGATTCACCCTTGAGGGTTATTTTTATAGTGTGCCCAGTAGTTGCTAAAAGCAGAGAATTAAAGCAATTTAAAGAAATACTGCCAAATATGGTTAACGCTATGTGATAACAGCCAATACTTAGGAAAATGAATACATGTCCTAGTTGTACAGTAGTTTGCAATACGTTATATTTCATGGTGCTTTTAGAGGTGTCATAACCCACATATAGGTGCAATGCTTCAATTTTGATCAAGATTCACCTTTGCCATATAAGGAAATGTCATGTTACTACAACAACATCAAAACTGAATTTGTCCTATTATTATTAAGAGGGTAGTTTGTACTCATAGCTTTTGGGTCTCCTGGTTGAAATAGACATAACAGGAAAAAAGTAGACATGTTTTATATACCAAGGGGTTTTCTTGATCAAATTAATTGTGTATTATTTTGCTTTTGCTTGCCTAGAATTGTTTATTGACTGCTTTTGCAATTTACAAATTTGTAAAATGCCAATATAAGTGTTTGCAATATGACTTAATTTTATCTTCTTCACATGTTTATGGTTCACTGCTTTAACTGTATATTTAAAGTTTAAGGTACCTGTAGATTCATAGAAATGTACTAAAGCAAATAGGTTGGGAAAATTTGTACAATTTGGGGAATTATTGGCTGAGCTATTCCTTATTTGCAGTAAAGATGGAAACTTAATTTTATATTTGACTTTTACATTTTACTCTAAAATGACAAAAAGTTAAGTTTCATATGGGTTTGACCAGGACAGTTTATTTTAACCTTTTGAGGGTCTTGTTTAGAAACTTCTTATGCTATTAGAAGCATTTTTAACAATACAAATGATGAAGAATTGTGCAAATATCCTAGAACAGTGCAAACCTTAAAAATTGTTGTTATTTTATGAAGTGTATTATGGGAAGGGCAATGGTTTGTTCTCTTTGTTATTATTATTATTAACATATTGCCATCCATGTTTAGTAATCTGTGTGGTCACGTTTTGATAATCAGCGATCTCCCTAGTCATGATTTAAGACCGCCTAAGGAGGTGTGTGTAATAGGGTGGGGGGGGGGGGGTGTCATAAGGGCTAGCTAGACTACAAACTCCTAACTTGAAAATGACAAAAATCCTAAAAGTGTACAATTTGATCCAACTTTGGTCAGAATTGTTGAAATAGATAAAATTTTGCGACTGCGCTTAAAAAACACATATGGTTCGTTAGATAGGAGAGGAGGCTTGGATGCTCAAGGGGATCTTTTGTTGAAATAAATTGCCTAAACATGTCCAGTGATCTTCCCAGAATTAAAGCAGGTGGGTGTAGCACCCACCTGAGATTCTGAAAATAGGCTTGCACCCACCTGAAAATCCATTTGCACCCACTTGAAAATGAGAAAAATTCTTAAAAATTGGCTTATTTTAACCTTTGGTCTGAATTGTGAAAATGAGAATTTTGCACCCACCTGAGAAAAAATCCTGGGGAGATGTCACCTGATGTCACTTAGTCAAGTGATAATCCTGTTGTAACGCATCCCCATGCATCAAAATGGCTGACTATGAATTCAAATTTCTGCTTGGGCCTTCCATACAATTTCATGCTTTATACATATTAAAACGTGACCACTATGTTGTCTTATGGATATTATGATATATTCAGTAGATGCTTATGCAGTGAAAATGGCCAGTACTTGTAGATATATAAAAACTGAATATTACAAATTAAACTTATGATGTGAAATTATTTTTCCACAGATGAAAGTTCCAATACAAAATGGTCTTTGAGGATTACTTTGTATCATTATTTCTGGATATGGAATTCTTTTTTGAAAATTTTTAGTATGATTTACTGAATATTGTTATTTGGTTATATCTGTATTATTTTTGAGTATAGTTATAAATAACAAGTATTTTAGTATAAAATAATTTTTAGATTTTACAAATATTTTGCAAGAAAGGCATTGAGTTGACATTTCACTACTACATGTATGATATGTCTCCCTGAAGTACAATGTGCCATTGGATTCAGAGTATTGATTCAAGTAGTATTGCTCTTTGAGAACAAGCCTTGCTTCCAAAGCAATCCTAGTTGAATTAGTGCCTTTTGTTATGAATTAATTAAGCATCAGTATTCCTTTTTATCGGATGCATAAAGTCAGTCTATAATGGCAAGCTCAAAGTCTTGCTCAATGAAGAATGTGATAATTTTACTTAAAAGATTTTAACTTAGTTTGAGAAGCCTGTTCAAAAAGAAATTAACAATATATTCATAAAAACAGCCATAATAGCTTAATTTAGAATTTTATACCATTTAAATAGAAATTAGTTTTACTTGCTAAAAGATTCAACTATTAGCTTTTGTTATTTAGAAAAAGTCTGTAAGTGGTTTGTAAAAAGGAAAGTGAAGTTTTTGTGTATGTAAAAAAGTTAATAAGATATTTTCTAAATGTAGGAAAAAATTGCTTTGAAATTTATTATTTTAAATAAAATTAGTATATCATAGATGATTTTTTTAGTTAATAGAAATAAGGACTTGGGTTTATAACAAATGGAATTAAAGCAGGCAATGTGCTCAATGAATCTTGCTTGCCAAGGTTCAAAAGAAGGAAAAGTAAGTCATGAGAGGTTAAATATGCAAATCTCTCAAAATCTAACGAAAAACTACAAATAGCAAGATTTCAAAGCTATACAGAAACTCTATTGCCTGAGCGATTCATTTGAATTGATGATTTATTGAGGTTGTGTGCTAGACTGGGGCCAGTTTCTTGAAAAATATTGTGAATTTAACTATGGGAATCCAATTGTCATCATTCACATCTGTGTGTGAAATATTAGTGTTACATCATATAACATATATACAATGTATATAAAAACATAGAGAGAAATCATGTACATGTAATGACAGTTGAAATTCATAGGAATTGCTATAATATTTCTAGAAACTGGCCCCTGAATAAATGATTGAAATGAAATTATTTCAAGAGAAAAACTATTTTACATAATTTTATGTATAGATGTATTTCTGAAACTTGTTATATAGATATTCAGAAATATCATAATATATCATTCCAATGTTATATATATAATTTTGTTAGTGCATATATGGGGTAAAAAATAAGATGTAGTGATTATAATTAAAAATGTTTTTTGTTTGTTTGATTGTTGTGTTGGTGAACCAAATTACTGGACTAATACCCTCATTTTTCACAAGGTCAATATCACAAAATTTATATTTCCCAAAGCTACATGTCAAATCATTGCTCCTATGCTATGGCATTCATTGGTTTGACATGAAAACTCATTTTCAAAAGATTAATATCACAAAATTCCTATGCTATGGCATACATTGGTTTGACATGGAAAATGTCTTAGAGGCCTGGTATTTCAGAAAAAATGTTTTAAAAAGCAGTCTCTTGCATTCTGCATCATTCTCCCTGTCTCTCTGTCGCCTTCTCTTTTTATCCAGGCAGATGTCATAAGCAATTTATCCATCACACACATGACTGTAAAAGGCATCATTTCAGCCAATATATCTTATCTTGATTTCACTGCTATTTTCTCATTTTGAATAGATGAATCCAGTAAATCATAGCACTTTACTAGCTTTCATAGTATGATGTCATCCTTAGTTTCACTTTACACATTTGAATTATATATTATGATTGAACATATTATAACATATCTACCTTTGATGGTTTAATACAGCAATTTTTTTTGTCAAATCCATCTTTTTTATTAACCAGACATGAATAACCACATTAATTGGAGAATGGATTTGATTGAATCTAGTCATTGAGTTTTCTTAATTTAAAGATTTTTTATCATCAATAGCCACTGTACAACATTGCCAATAAAAACTTTTGCGAGTTGGGGAAATATACCAATGCTTCCTTATGGTACTGCCATCTTTACAATCACTACTTTTTCAAATTGGGACTTATTTATTAGAAAACATTACCTATTGGCAGATGGTAATTGCATTGGTACATTTACAAATAAGATTTACATGATTTCATTTTTCCCATTTCACTGGAAATATTTTAGCTATCCTTAACATGTCTTAATCACACATTTGAGTACATATTTTGATCATAACATTGCTACACAGGGAAATAATACAAATCTGAATGCAGGAGTCAGACATCAACACTGTTCCTTCTATTGGAATGAACCAGATGATGTCTGGACGAAGAATGTAACAATAAGAATCCAATGCACAGTCTGAGGTCGATTTATTTACCAAAACAAGGCATATTTTTAGCACTATATATGCTTCAAGGCATATACATGTATAACGAAAGTACCTGAAATGGATAAGAAGGTTAAAAAGTAGTTGTTATCCCAATAACTGAAATACCGGTTGACAGATTTCATTCAAATTTTATAGGCTTATGCCTTATGAGTGTATGGCCTCTGCTCGAGAAGGAATTTTCAATATGGCCACTTAGTCTAAATTGGCGGCCATTTTTTGGAAAAAATATAATCTTTGATAACTCAAATACTAGTACATGTAGATGGATTTGGTTCAAATTTTATATGCTGTTGCCTGGGTACAAAGGAGCCTTGCTCAAGAAGACATTTTCAAGATGGCCACCATATTTCAAAATGGCTGCCATTTTTCGTAAAAAAACGTTATCTTTGATAACTCAAATACCATTGAATGGATTTGATTCAAATTTTACATGCTGATGCCTAGGGACATAGGACCTCTGCTCTAGAAGGAATTTCAAGATGGCAGCTAAATTTCAAAATGGCCGCCATTTTTCATAAAAGAACATAACCTTTGATAACTCAAATACCAGTTGCCGGATTTGGTTCAAATTCTATATGCTGATGCCTAGAGACAAAGAAGTTCTGCTCAAGAAGACATTTTCAAGATGGCCACTGAATTTCAAAATGGCTGCCATTTTTCCTAAAAAAACGTAATCATTGATATCATTATATGCTGATGTTTAGGGAAAAAGGAGATCTGCTTCAGAAGAAATTTCAAAGGCGTCAGCTGAATTTCAAAATGGCTGCCATTTTTCATAAAAAAAGATAATCTTTGGTAACTCGAATACTATTGGACAGATTTACTTCAAATTTTATATACTGATGCCTAGAGATAAAGGAGCTCTGCTTGAGAAGAAATTTTCAAGGTGGCTGCTATTTATCGAAATCTCTGCCATTTTTCATTAAACATGTAATCCTTGGTAACTCAAGTACCAGTGAACAGATTTGGATTAAATTGTATATGCTGATGCCTTGAGACATAGGAGCTCTTCTTAAGAAGAAATCTAAAGATGACAGCTGAATTCAAAATGGCAACCATGTTTCAGAAAAACATAATCTTTGATAATTCAAATACCAGTGGATGGATTTGGCTCAAATTTTATATGGCTGCTATTTATCAAAACATGTTTTGTTTAGTGGGATTTGCTACTCCATGGAGTTGCTGTTTTTCTAGTTCACCAAGACGGATTTGATATGGGGAATATCACAAGGACGATATCAATATTTTCATAAATCTGCATTTAGTCAAGTTAGTCATCTGATCCTTCTTGTGAAGTTGAACCATGGATGCTAGTTATAATGTTCCATAAAACAAATCAGAATTTTTGCCGACAAAAAAGTTATACAACATTATGTGGGTGGATGTCATTTATTTTGTGTCACCTTGTTCTTGGTCAATATGCAAGTCTGAACCAATAAAAATGGATTCTTAGTTCCGATTCACATGGAGTATGCCAATAATTTAGTATTCCTTTTCATGTTCTGCCAGCCATTCCCTTTGATGTATAATCATGACATCATACTTAGAGAAATCTAGAACAGCACTTCAACTATTGACCATTCTGACAAATCAGAATCAAGTAATATTAACAAATAACAACTATTTACTACATACAATAAATTTATTCAATATGAAGTCTATAAGTATATATATATATAATACATGTTATACATGTTAATAAATAAGTTACATCAGTAGTTTTGTATTGCCCCAAGTCTCTCTTCACCCCCACACCCCCTTTGGTTCACCAAGTATCCTTTTATATGCACAATGTGCTAAAGAGGAGTGGGGGCAGAGATCCAATTCAAGAATATCTATACTAAGTCTTAAAGTTTCAAATCAAGTGTCACCCCTTCCACTTACTATATTTACTCACAGCCTGCAGTAGAAGGGGAGACTTATACTGTGACTTTATGCAAGCAATATATCCCCTCCCATCGTATTTTATCATGGGATACACGCAGGGGAGGGGGGTAAAGTTCACAGATACTCGATGCGAGACTAATTAAATATGGTACATTGAATAATATTGGTATATTCATTAATTACACACCATTCTATTTTATTCTCATGTAAAAGGGAGAGTGACTTCTTCTAAATCCTTTTTAAGACCCATATTTATCTAAGCTCACAAATGAGTGAATATAACACTTTTACTATTTTACTTTTTTCATTTTTGAAGTAAAAATACATTATTTAGAAAAAAGAATGCATGGTCTTGACAAAAATGTGCATTAAATGTAGTACAGCAAAATAATTTAATTAAATCATCTAAAATGTGGACAATATCAAGAACATTGCATATGAAATACTTCATGCACTAGCAGCTATCTAAGCTTTCATCTGACAACATGACTAAGAAGGAAATTCCAGACTGCCTATACAAAAGAATCATCAGAAATACTGATTACTAGTAGATATATATCTGTAATGCTGTGTAGAAGAGCATGAAAGAGTAATTCAATATATAACATATATGTACATACATATTATTTATCTAAGCTTTTAACATATACTACACTTTTCACTAGTTTAATGAATTTTTCAGTTTTAAACAATTCTCTCTGAAATTAACAACTTAGTTTGGATGGCTGGCACTTCTATATACAATGTATTATGAACTGTCAGAATTTACTCTATACATGGCTGTTTACTTGCTCATTTCACTTTTTCCACCCTATTTAGGATTTTACATTTTGCACACATTCTTAGTGTAAATATTTAATTGTAAACAGGTACAAGTAAGAATTTTGAGTTACTTCAATGAAATATTTACATAACACTAAAAATATATGATTTTAGATTCAGGAATCATTAGTTTCTTTTATTTGTATGGCTGCTATGATAAAATGACAGGGAGTTTTCCACAAACTTATTGAATGAGCTGGTATTGCATTTCACTGATTACAAACAAACAACATATTAGAAAACTGTTCAATTAAATGCACAATAAGTCTTATTAGATCTTCAACTTTGGGTAACTTTCCAAAATTCACGAAACGTTGTGGTTATCATATCTTTATAACCAAGAATACATTTTGTATTGCACGAAAATACATAAAATTCAGCATTTCTATAGTAGCTTCTCCATAAAGACATGTAACAGAAACACAAAAACACAGACATTCTTTTACAAGCACATCTAATGTACAACATAGAAAATTAGTAAATAATGAAGAAATGCAAATTGCCACAATTTCTCTGCATTATTAATTAATGATTTCTAAACTACAAATTTAATCAATGTTGAATAGGAATTTGGTGATCTACTAAACATCTTCCTGTTTGGGAGTTTCATCTTGATTCATGACATCAGCCTCATTTGTGGCACCAGTCCCATTTGTGACATCAGCACTATTTGTGTCATCAACATCCTTTTTGGCACCATCATCTCCTTCCATCGCAAATGAATCATCTTTGGATACATTTGGATCCTCTACAATATCTTTCTCCCCTGTTGTGCCATTTACATCCATACATTCAATGGTTTTAAAATGTTCCTCAAAGTTTGCACCATTTGGCGTGTTTATTTTAGTTTTATGTGCCATCTGCAGATGCTTTAATGAGTCGGTTACTCTCGAGAAAGTCTGGTCGCAATATTTGCAGTGATAATTCACAATTTTGTTATCGTCATGTTGCTGCAGATGGCGCTTCAGTTTATCATCCCGAGTGAATGATTTTCCGCAGATTTTGCATTTATATGGTTTCTCTCCTGTGTGACCTCGCTCGTGACGTCGTAGGTTTCGCTGGCTTGCAAATGTCCGAGCACAAAATTTGCACACAACTTTACGATGCGTCATTACTACATGACAGTTAAAATCTTGAAAATTCTTCATGCTGATATCACACAGATCGCATGTGTAACTGGCTTTAGATTCGATATCATCAAGAGGTTGGATCTCACGCTTTGAATTCTTTGGTCTTGGGAGGATATCACGTAACTTTCTTTTTGCAGCCCCCTTCGCTTTGGGGCTCCCCTTTCTAGATCTAGAAGAACGGGGGCTGTAAGTAAGCGAAGTGTCATCATCTATCGGTTCCTGTTCATCTTCCTGCTCAAAATTATCCAAGCTCAAATCGTAATTAATCATGTCTTGGCCAGGGAATACAATCATGCTGGCATTAGAAGGGCCTTCATTCATGTTTGTTTGGGCTCGCCCTCCCTTAGACTGGAAATCAAGATTTGTCGCCTGGACGTTACCCCCGAGGGAAAATACTGACTGGATCTGGAAAGGGGAGTCTTCATTTTCTTCACCTGAGTTCTCTCCTTGATTTCCTGCAATTAAAATGTTTGATTTAATGTGGGCGAATGGGATTAATTTTATATGTACATGACTTGTATTAATTGTGAATGCAATACTTCATGTAAAGGGTTGATTTAATGGTACTAGGAACCATTAAAAGAACTTCATTAAGCTAAGACTTCATAGATAAAACGTAACCATGGAAACCATGTCAAAATAAAATGATAATGGACTTCTGTTAATGATCTATACATTGTTTATTCCACTGACTGCCGTCAAAATTTCTACAATAGATCTAAGGTCACTTTTTGCATTGGTATGAATCGAAATAAAGAATCAAGAAAGACTTCACTTAGTGTAATGAACTGTTCCTAATATGCACATACTGCACTTACAAATATTCAAATTTATTAACATATTATTTATATCAAAACAGTGGGTATGACATTGGGTAGTACATTTCAAAGAAAGAATTGTCTCAAATAATATCCCAAATAAGTAGTCCTGAAACTCAATTGTAATTTATTTACAATATTGCTGTAATTGCATTTTGTCTCCTCAACAGGGTGCTAACTCAGCCTTTTTTGATTTGCTCCTAGAATAAGACCCCATCCCTATCATGACCTAAAAGAGTGCCAATAAATTTTACAAATTTTTACAAAATACTAAAATTTACTCAAAAATCCCACTCCTTAAACCCCTAGTGAGAACCAGAAGGTGACATGGTTGAAACTTAATAAAGTATTACCATAGAACAGCTCCATGGTATCATCCTCCATCTTCTGCTTCTTGGCAGCTGGGTCATCATCGCATGGTTCAGGGTACACAATGGCAGTCTGGCTCATATCCTCATCTCCTGTAAGATGAAAGAGAATGTATAAAATGGTGATATGTTGATTATGATAAGATATATGGCAAGGAGTGGAGTTGATTGGGAGAACGAGTAGGGGATGAAATGTGAGAGGAAATAAGATGGAAAAGCAGTGCTCTCCATAGGATTTTGCTATTTCTAGTGCAACATTTTAGAATTTTGTAACTTATTGTGCCAAATTTTAGGTTTTTGTAATCTTTTGTGCAACATTTTAGGCTTTTGTGGTTTTCTGTGCAACATTTTAGGATTTTGCTATTTTTATTTTTTACTCCAGGCAGATTGAATTAACTCAATGAGAATTTAGTAACTAATTGCGCAATTTAGTTTTGTAATTTTTGTGCAACATTTTAGGTTTTTGTAATTTTTACTATTCCTACGCCAGGCAGATTGAAATAATGGAGGAGTTTTGGTGTCTTGAGGAAAGATAAACGGAGAAGAGAGAAATGAGTAGAGGATGAGATTCAATAGAAAATAGGAAGGAAAAAGAGAATGCTTAAGATGAACAAAGGAGAATGGAGGGGGAGCAGTGTCCATACCTAGGTAAGGAGTTTGGAAAGGCCATGGCACTAGACAGGATCAAGTTAAAAGGCTAGTCTGTAATGAACTTGTTCCTTACAGTGATTCAAGTACATTGAGATGAAGCATTGAAGAATTAAAGAATATTTTGCAAATTTCTCTTTTCAAATATGAATCTAAGTGTGAATTCAATCATCTGACAAATAAACCATTGGGAAAACTGTTATGAATTCATGAACAATAAAGTCAGATGTTTTTCACCTTTGACAGCAACGAGTGTAATAATTATTCACAGGTAACATGTCCTTAAATACCCTAATATGTTACCATGGTAACAGATATTGCCAATGTGTCACAGTAGAAAAAGCATGTCAATCAGAAAATAACATCTTTAAGGAGCATCACAGATCACTACAGATTATGAAATGTGAGAAGCAAACTTTCCAAATAGGATACCAATGTTTTTCTTAAAATCCCAAAGATCAAATATAAAAGTCATTAAATTATAAAAGTAGAAATGTCCAAATCCATTTGGATTAAAACTTTTTTGCTAGATGATTTTGAAATTGTTACATTTTTTCAAAATTAATCTCAACTTATCTGTATCTATTCTGTTCAGATTTTAAATTTCAAAAATACAATACAAGGGGTTCAAAAAACGCAACTGAAAGAAATTGCTATATCTTGGAAAATGCTAAATCAATTGTGTTCATTTTTCAGGAAAGAAAGAAGAAACTCAAAAATTGGTGACACTGTATCTTGATAATGACATGAAAACTAGCTTTTAGATATCATTCTAAAGTATATGACGAGAATAGAATCTGTTTACTCTAAGAACACATTTATAATCTACACATCTCTCAATGTAATCGTCTTTATCCAGGCACAAGATAGTTCGGACAAATTTTACAAAATAATTTAATTTTAAATCCTTTACCAATATCCTCCAGGGGTTCAATTAGTTCATCATTGGCAGCATTTCCAGATTCAGGGCTGTCTGATTTGGCACAATTGCCCATGCAGGATTGCTGGTGAAGAATGAGGTTGGGAATGCTGTCCTTGCTCTGCCCACAAAAGCAGCATTCCAGAGCACCTGTCTGACCTGCAAAATAAAGGAAATATTTAAACAATTATTCACCTAGAGATCAGGTAAACATACAGATACTGATGTCTCATTAGATTAAGTACAATGTGCTTAAACTGTGCCCTTGACACAGGATTTCATTCAATTAGGACATTTAGTTGAATTCAATGTGCATGATCTGAGGAGTAAAATTTCCAGAAACAGACTGCTCTAAAATGATGAAACTATTGAATATTTACTTATTCCTACCTTTGATTCTGTGTGTGTTGAAATGGCTTTTAAACTCATTCTCATCCTCGATGTACTTATTACATACTTTACAGTTGTAACGGGGCATGTTTGTATGCTTCTTGAAAATGTGCTCTCGCAGTTCCAAAATTGAAGCACACTCAATTTTGCAATTTTGGTGAGAGCATGTGTATGGGCCTTCATCTCCCATTGCCTCCGTCTCACTGTAAGCCTCGCCTAAATTGGCCTCACCCTCACAGGACTTCCTGTGTATGTTCATCTGGGCTTTATCTAACAGATACAGTCCACATTTTCCACAGTAGTTTATGGAAGCACTCGTTGCTCCATGATATTTCTTAAAATGGTAATAAATGCTTCCTTTAAAATTGCACTTTTTATCGCATATTCCACATCTGTATTTGACCCCTGCTTGTGATTGCTTTGTTGTAGAAGTTGTAGTGCTGGTGGCACCTGTACTTCCCAAGGTTTTTATGGTTGGGCAATTAAGTTTCATATCTTTAGCCTTGGCAAGGGACTCTTCTAGACGACTATGCAACTTCATGTGGCTAGTGTAGTTATAGGAGCTCTTAAAGACACGCACACAGAACTTACACACATAGCTCATGTGTGTGGACTTCATGTGTGCACAGTAGCCATCCACTGTGCGGAACTGAAGAATGCCACAGTTGGCATGGTTACATACATATTGGCCTGGAAACAAAAGCAAACAATACAATTTTTCATGACTACCCTGGTATCGAATGAGACAAATTAAAACACGTACATGTATATACAATTAGCACACTCCAGGGTAACCCTCAAATGCTCAATTGTGGCCTTCAAATAAGAGGTTAACTTCTTGGCCAGTAGCAAACGCTTGCTATGTTTGACTCCCTGGAGGCACCAAATAAATGAATTAGGTGGCAACTTTGTGGATGGAACAAGGCATTAATATGATATGAGCAAGTGCATTATTTCAACTGATTACAAAAGTGTAACAATATGTTCACAAAAATAGTGGCTAAAATTTCTGTTTTTCCTTATCTCATTGTCATCAATTTTCATAATCAATCTAGATTTACACAATAACTTGGCTACACATCTACATATTTGGCCGTATACTCTCAAAATTTGTTGCACCAGGTAAATATTCACTTTAAATATAATTTAAAAAATATTTGTGGGAATAGATATTGAAATCAAAACTATAGTAATGTCACAAGTGAGATATAGCATTATACTCTTGTTAACACTTACCTAAAGATTTCAATTGCTCATTAATTATAGGCATTCCCAGGTCAGAAGATTCCGTTATAGCCTGGGCATCATCTTGTTTCAGTGATTTTTCCACCATTTTCTTTAAGACTTGACTAGCTATGTTATTCGCATCCATAGAACTTGATTCTGTTTCATCAGAAAAACCTAACAAAGGTTCATTTTTCATCTCGTTTCCATAATTTGATATCTTGCCCTCAGAATTTTTGTCTTTCCCAGCAGCAAGTGCAGCTTTGAGTGCCCCAAACGAGCATTTCCCACTTGCAGCAAGCTCTTTGGCGACTGGATCTTGTGCATTGAGTTTAACTTGGACTAGTTTAGAGCCGCTTATTGATTTCATATTTGCAAGCTCACTGGAGGTCAATGTAGATGGGGCAATCGTAACGCTTGTACTCCCTGACGAGTTTCCTTTTGCATTCAACAAATTACTCAAGTTACTGACACCTGATTGAGATACCACAGCATTTGAGCCCTCATGGAATGTCTTATTGTGAATTTTCACCACAATATCCACTGGTTTTTGTTTCCCAAGACTGACACAAACAATACCATCGATTTCTGCTTCATAGCGTGTTGGGATAAACTTCTTACAACAGGTGAGGACAGATTTTGCCAGCTCATCCTGGATCAAACATTTCAAATCCTCCGACATCTGAAACATATCGACAAAAATTTAGAATCATCATACTCATAGAGAAATTCATGACAACGTATGCTTGCAGTCAACATAACTAAGATTCTGCTCAACTGAAACCTTCCAACTAATGTTTTAGGTGGACTATAATATACAAATAGTGACTGCCATTGAGGGCAATAGTGTAAATTATTTCCCCGAGGGAATATCCTCTACAATGTACTATTCCCGAAGCCGCAGGCTGAGGGAATAGTACATTGTAGAGGATATTCCCAAGGGGAAATCATTTACACTATTGCCCTCAATGGCAGTCACTATTTGTTTTATTATATACCCTATACTGACTCTTGTCCCGTTTCCTCTGCAAAGGCCAAAAAGGCTTAGAAAGCCCCCTCCCCGGGTCCATTGTTAGCATTATAAGCTGTGACGTCATCAGATGCTCAACAGAAATTTTTGCCTCTGAGACTCTCACTTGACAAATTCAATCGCGTTTAACACGCGGAATAGATTATCATAACACTTGAAATTACACAGACGTATTGAGCTTAGGGAACTTTATACACGTTGCTTATATTGTATCGTTCACGCACGTCTGTCATGGTGAACGGAGTTGATTTGTGTTTGTGCTCATCCTCCATTTTTCTGTTTTTCGTCTGCACAATTGTGACGTCAGCGGGCAATAGTTCAAAGTTATATTCCCGCTGACGTCACATTTGAGGGAATATAGCTTTCCGAGGGAAATAGTAAATCTATTTCGGAACACGTGACCAGGTATTGACCAATCAGGATTAGTGTTACATATTGGGTATATAATAATATTACATATGTATGTATGTTTGATTGGTTATTTTTTTAGGTTTTATTCACGCACAACCCAATATGGAATGGACAGTTGACAAAAGTACTATCGTAATTTTCTGAAGACTATATCTTGAAATGTTTTACTGGTATGTTTTTATGAACTAGGTCTTGCTTTACTGGTTGAAGGCTCTAGACCCTCTATTGCTTCTTTTGATGAAACAAAATTGCACTATAAAACTTGAATGACTCAGGATCAAATATTTGCCTTGTGCAAGTTGAAGAGAAGCATGAAATCAATTACAAATCCAGCAAAGTGTTAGAAGTAGTTGTAATATAACAACACATTGAACACAAGATGTATATTGTTTTTGATTAAGACAAAGGCAACGCCACAAGGGCATAATTTATGCATAGGGTCATGACCTCAAGAAAAATGGGGGCATTTTTCCTGCCCAGATTTTATACTCACCTTTTCTGTCGGTTTATCCACTTTTTCAAGTAATCCTACGCCAACAAAAATATATCACCACATTCTCTACTTCAACTTTTATACAGTAAATATATTTTTTGGTTTGTTGATCACGGGTAATATGCAAAATCGGCAGTTTTTATGAAGCTTTTATCTTCAGATATTTGCACTTTCAAACCGGAAGTAGATGGAGGTTTTTAAATGACGACCTGACGGCAAACGGAATTCATACTATTATTTAAAGGTAGCATCTTATTCTAACTGTTGAATATTGAATCTGTATCTTACTCACTTCGAGAGCCATGTTAGATTTTGAAACTAAGTATTAAAATCCACATAGCTTGAATCGCAGGAAGTAATATGTATCTACATATTCAATAATCTACAAGAGCATAGGCCCCGGGAACATGTATAAATAGCCAGCTTTTTGTAAGGGGGGGGGGGGGGGGGGGCTCGAACCATCCTAGGGCAGCAAAGAAAATATTTTAGAACCCTAAAATCAAAATTTGGGCCAAAATTCTGAAAATGTATGGCCCGTTCTTTGAAGATTTGGCCCAAAATTGAAAAAAAGGCCCAAAAAGGTCAAGTAATGCCCAAAAACGGCCCACTATAGAGGCCCTACAATATTTATGGGCCAACATGTTTTTCTGGTCCAATCCTATAGCCGTGCAGAAAACCTTTTAGGGCCCTAGAACCAAAATTTTGAAAATTTATGGCCCGTTTTTGAAAATTTGGCCTAAAATTGAAAAAAAGGCCCAAAAGGTCAAGTAAAAAGGTCAAGTAAAGGCCAACTAAAGAGGCCCTACAATATTTTTGGCCCAACATTTTTTTCTGGGCCCATCCTATGGCCGCGCGGAAAACCTTTTAGGGCCTTAGAACCCAAATTTTGGCCTACATTTTGAAGATTTATGGCCCGTTTTTTGAAAATTAATCTAAAATTTAAACAAAATAAGGCCCAAAAAGGTCAAGTAAAAAGGTCAAGTAAAGGCCAATTAAAGAGGCCCTAAAATATTTTTGGCGAACATTTTTTTCTGGGCCCATCCTAGGGTCGCGCGGAAAATTTTTGAAAATTTATAGCCCGTTTTTGAAAATTTGGTCCGTAGGGGTTCCTAGGGATTTAGGTCCAAGGGGGACCATTATTGAAATGCTGTACTAGGACCTTTATCCCTAGTATTCATTGTCCTATGTTATATAATAGTATCCCTTGGACAATTTACACTGAGGGGACATCCGAACTGCTGTGGCTGAATGGATAGAGGCGCTGGTAAGTACTGTATATAATTATTTGTAAGGTATCATTTCCCATTGTTTCAGGTTCCAACCCGCCAAAGCGCTTACATATTTTTTATTTGTGTGTCTTTTTATTCTTGTCTATATACCATGTATAAGGGAGATGTTATTTTTTTATAATCAATCTTCTTTAATGTTTCGAATCATGCAGAGCTGGACCCTTTGCTATGCTTAAGGTGAACGCACATTTTGGACATTTCGAGGTAAAGGTTGAAGGTTTGGATATTTGGTATAATTTTAAAAATCAAAAATGTACGTTGACATCTCCAATGTTCGTTGTCCCTGTAATTGAAATGTAAACAATGCAATGATTTAATTTCAAAACGCATAAGGGTTTCATGAGTAACAAGTGATATTCAACGAACATGTTCATGTATCCCTGGTACAGATAAACAGGTAAAAGTGATTTTTTACCTCTTGTTGAATGCTATTTTATTTTATGAAAGTGTTGATATGGTGATTAATATTTCACCGGGGTAGTTATCTTCCAACCTTTTTGACCATTAGGCGTCGGTACGTTACGTTATGTTGTACTTTTGTGAATTTTAATAATCTTGAGGAGTTCATGGAGAGACATATACTAGCTAATCGAAGATGACTTTCGAAATCCCGTTTATGCTATATCTGGAAAGTGCAGAGGTTCAATATAGTTCAATCACGTTTAATTAGTAATACTGGATTGTTCCGTTATAGTTTTAAATGAATCTGATCCCCCTGCCCCTTAGTGTTTTGGAAAATACGTTGTCTATGAGAAAGGTAAATGTCTTCTAAATCGAATACACACGAAACTAAACATAAAATCCCTTAAGGATTCCTCAGATTAATTTTTAAAACCTACACCACACCCACATCATTGTGTTTGCTTCATATCAGTTAGAATAG